GTTTGCAGACAAAATGGCATTCAAGCCAAGACCGATTAAGAGAGACAAAGGTTACTACATTCTTATAAAGGAAATAATCCAAGAGGAAGAAATAATAATCGTAATATATATATATATATATGTGCCAAATATCAGCACAGCCAACTATATAAAACAAATCTTAACAGACATGAAAAATCAAATAAACACTAATACAATTGTATTGGGGGATCTCAATACCACACTGTCACAAATAGACAGGTCAACTATACAAAAATCAACCATGAAATGTTAGAACTGAACCAAACCTTTTGTTTTGTTTTGTTTTGTTTTTGGTTTTTTGAGACAGGGTCTCGCCATGCAGTTCAGGCTGGCCTTGAGCTCACTTTGTAGGCCAGGCTGGCCTCAAACTTGCAATGATCCTCCTGCCTCAGCCTCCTGAGTGCTGGGATTACAGGTGTGTGCCACCACGCCCAGCTGAACCAAACTTTTGAATAAACGGACTTAGTAGATGTCTACTGAATGTTCCTCCCCACAACATCAGAATACACATTCTTCTCAGCTGCACATGGGACATTATCCAACATAGGCCATATACTAGCTCATAAAACATGCTTAAGTAAATGTAAAAGAATTGAAATTATCCCATGCATATTATCAGACCATAGAGCAACGAAATTAGAAATCAGTGGCAAAAGTGACCACAAGAACTTCATGAACATATGGAAATTAAATATCAGCCTCCTGAACAACCAATGGGTCACAGATGATACTGAAGAAAAATTAGGCAGTTTCTACAATTAAATAGTAATGCCAATACAACACATTAGAACTTATGGGACACAATGACAGTGGTCCTATGAGGGAAATTTTTGGCAGTGAATATTCATATCTGGAAAACAGAGAGAATTTATATAACCAACCTAATATTGAACCTCAAACCTCTAGAAAAAAGAAGAGCAGGCCAACCCAAAGCTCATATGAGGGAGGAAATTATAAAGATCAGGACATAAGTTATTGCAATGGCGACTAGGAAAACAACACAAAGAATCAATGAAATGGAGAGTTGGTTCCTTGAAAGATTAAACAAAATCTATAAACCCTTAGCCAACCTTATCAAAAAAAGGAAATAAAATACTCAGATCCATGCAATTAGGAATGAAAAGGGTGAAATCACAATGGATCCTGCAGAAATCCAGAAGAACATGTATACCTACTTCAAGAACTTGTACTCTAATAAGATGGAAAATGCAGAAGAAATGGACAGATTCCTAGATACCTATGAATTACCAAAGCTAACTCAAGAAAATATAAAAATTGTAAATAAACCAATAGCAGTCAATGAAATTGAAGATGTAATTAAAAACCTACCAACAGGGCTGGGGATATAGCTCAGTGGCACAAGCATCCGCCTGGCAGGCACAAGGTACTGTGTTCAATTCCCGGTACAAAAAAAAAAAAAACCCTACCAACAGAGAAATGCCCAAACCCTGACAGACTCACTCCTGAAATCTCCAAGAAATTTAGAGAAGAATTAATGCTATTATTTCTCAAACTAACAAAACTGAAAGGGAAGCAATACTCCCAAATTCATCCTTGGAAGTAAATATTACCCTGATACCAAAACCAAAGAAGGACCCAACTAAGGAACTACAGGCCAATCTTCTTAATGAGAATGAACATAGATACAAAAATCCTCAATAAGATACTGGCAAACAGAATGCAGCAAATCATTTTGAAGATTATACATCATAACCAAGTAGGATTTATCCCAGGGCTGCAGGGATGATTCAACATATGTAAATCAATAAATGTAATACACCATATTAGCAAAGCCAAGAACAAAAACCATATGATCATCTCAATAGATGCAGAAAAAGAGTATGACAAAGCCCAACACTCATTCATGCTAAAAACTTTTCAGAAAATTGGAATGGATGATCTTTATCTCAATCTGATAAAGCCATCTATTGCAAACCAACAGCTCCTGCCCCTCGAGGCGTTGCAGGTGTGGCTGCTATGTCACATCTGCGTCACTAGGTGGCAGAGAGAATCGAGGCTATGTCTATGCTCAGTGTTCTGACCCGTGGACGCCTGAATGATTAGTAGCCTGACACGGACAGAGCCACTGCAGGGTGCCATGTGCTTGCCAGCCACCTGGAGCCTGGTGAGTGAGGCCACCTTCTGCTGATAACCCTC